CGTTAGGGGCGGCGACGGGGCCGCGTAGGGGCGGCGACGGGGCCGCTAGGGGCGGCGACGGGGCCGCGTAGGGGCGGCGACGGGGCCGCGTAGGGAGGGGAGCGGCGACGGGGCCGCTAGGGGCGGCGACGGGGCCGCGTAGGGGCGGGGACGGGGCCGCGTAGGGGCGGCTACGGGGCCGCGTAGGGAGGGGAGCGGCGACGGGGCCGCTAGGGGCGGCGACGGGGCCGCTAGGGGCGGCAACGGGGCCGCGTAGGGGCGGCGACGGGGCCGCGTAGGGGCGGCGACGGGGCCGCGTAGGGAGGGGAGCGGCTACGGGGCCGCTAGGGGCGGCGACGGGGCCGCGTAGGGGCGGCGACGGGGCCGCTAGGGGCGGCGACGGGGCCGCGTAGGGGCGGCAACGGGGCCGCGTAGGGAGGGAGGCGGCAACGGGGCCGATAGGGGCGGCGACAGGGCCGCTAGGGGCGGCTACGGGGCCGCGTAGGGGCGGCAACGGGGCCGCTAGGGGCCGCGAGGGGCCTGGAAGGGCGGCGACGGGGCCGCTAGGGGCGGCGACGGGGCCGCTAAGGGTGGCGCGAGGGGCCGTGAGAGGGGCCTCTAAGAGAGCTGGACAGAAGGGCGGCCCACAAGGCGCGCCTCGGGCAGGAGCGACTGTCGCTCCGGTCAGAAAAAAGGTTTCAGTGGTGGGCCCAAGGAAGCGTTCCCACTAGGGAACCTGCTCTATACCATGTGAAGAAATGAGGAATGAATGAACTAGCAAGCAGGTGGGTACAAGTAGGAAAACCTAAAAGTGTTGTACCCCATATTGTCTACCCCACTACAGCCTACACAGACTATAGCATATGAGTTTGACACAGCAAGGATGTTTTTTTTTTTTTTTTTTTTTTTTTTTTTTCATTATGAATATAACCAAATACACCGAAAGAGCAAGCGTATAAGCGATATATGTCAGTCGTAACCGAGCGTGAGAGGCCGAACCCACATGGTGGCCTCACGTGAGGCTTCTAAGGCAGATGCAGAGCTCCCCTTGCCAGGCTCCAAAGCGCGCCGAAACTGTGCGTCCACTTCCAACCTTTCACCGTCATACAGCGAATGCGGCCAAGTAAACCGTCCTCCTGCTCCGCCAGCGCATGAGTTCTCCTTTGTCCCTTCGAACCACCGCCGCTGCCAGTCTTCTTTCCCATTGCTCGCGTGTACACCTTCACATGCAGCCGAAAGGCTGCCTCGATGCGCCTGAGTACCCGCCGGGCCCGGAATCTTTTCCCCCGAAACACACAATCACATCGCTCCGCCCAGATCTGGTGAACGGCAATTGCAGAGAGGGTCGCTTCAGGAAACGCTGAGGCCGATGCTGCCTTTCCTAACAACAGGTCCCCCAGGTCCGACACTTGCCTCGCAGGGTTCAGCATGCGCATGGACCGCTTGACTGCCACCACCACCTGCTGGATGCGCGGGCAGCTGAAAAGACAATGCTCCAAGGTTTCAAACTCCCCACAGTGCGGGCAGACCGGCCTGCCACTTAGAAAGGAGAGCCTCTCCCCTACTTGCAGGTTGAGGCTGTGAATCCTAAGCAACACGTCACGCGGCCTGTTCGGTGTCACCAGCGAGTCCCGAACTTTGATAACTTTCTTCCAGTCAATTTCCCCTGACCATCTGCCTGCCCAAAGCTCCCTCTTAGCGGATTGACGCTTCTGCCCCTTCCAACATCCCTTCAGCTCTTTCAACGACGCCACCTGCCCATCCTTGAACAGTGCCGATTTCTGAAGGCGGGGAATCAGAGGCGGAGGTACCAGTTGCTCGGCAGACAGTAGACTCTCCTTCCAGGTCTGTGGTACCGCTTCCCAAGCCCGTAGTGCCAGCTTCGCTTGCTTAGAACCTCCCAGCTCCCTTGTCAGGGTTTTCACATCTTTGACCTTTCGTCCCCCCGCGCCATCCGGCAGCAAAAGATCACCCAGCCGGAGCTCCCACAGCTTCACCGCAGCCTTCTGACCCCCCACTGGAGTCCTGCCGTTGAGCAGGATGTTGCGGTTAAAAACAATCCGCTCCGCTACAATTTCTTCCTTCGTTAGGGCCGGTAGTGAGTCTATCAGCGGCGACTGCATAAAGCTCCCGCAGGCCAGCTTCCATCTCTCACTTTTCCCACGCCAGCACTTCAGAAGCTTCACGTGAGCGACAAAGGTGTCCGTCCCCAGCGGCAGGTCCGCCGCTGCGAGCATAATGTCCCGCTTAAGTTCACTCGTCTCGGTGAGCAACAGCCCGATGCGCCTGGCTGCAAGACAGGTGAGCTCTATTTCCGGGTCCCTCACCCCCACACCGCCATCGGCCCTGGCCGTATACAGTAGATCCCGGCTCCACATAATGAATTTCTTATCAGTGACCGCGTGGTTGCCTCATACAAAGTTGTGCGACAGCTTCAAAATCCTCCCCCAAATATCCGCCGGCGGCGGGTACACCTGCGCCTGGAAGAAAATTATGGGTGAGATGTAGCAGTTGATTACCGCTACCCTGGCGCCTGTGGTGAGATGTTGCGTCTCCCATTGTCTCAGCTTATCCTTGATCCGCGCGAAAGCTTTTTCCCAGGTGGGGGCGCAGCTGCCAGCCGGCGTCACCCACACGCCCAGGAGCCTCTCTGCTTCATCCGCCTTTACCCACTTGAAACCGTCCGTCCTGCAGGCCTGTTTGTTCAGGTTACACCCCAGGGGTAAGATGGATGACTTCTCTATGTTCGTTGCCAGCCCCGACTCTGCCTCGAAGTCTGCTAACAGCCGCTCTGCTTCCGCAATCTGTTCTTCTCCTTGCAGGACTAAAGTCGTGTCGTCAGCATACCCCAGATACGCCAGCCGCTGCTCCCCCTTTTCAAGACCAAGTTTTCTAGCAGCCGCCTGCTGGGCCAACGGTTCCACCGCGCACAGGAAGAGGTAAGGCGCAAGCGGACAACCCTGCCGCACCCCAGACACCACGTCAACCGCTTCCCCCATCCAGCCGTTGATTAACAGACTGGTCCGTGTATCCTTGTGCAGGCCCCTAACCCAGTCCACGAGACGGCTCGGAAAACCCATCCGCTCGAGCACCGTAAACAGGAAGTTCCTCGAGACCGAGTCGAAAGCTTTCCTAAAGTCGACCAGCAGAAGATACCAGTCATGATCCTTGCTCTTCGCGGCCTCGATAACATCCGCAACCAAGCCCACCGCGTCCGACAGCTTTCTACCAGGCAAGAAACCGTACTGCTCCGGAGAGATGACTTCATGCAGCACTCTTTTCATCCTGTCTGCCACCACCCTCGCGATCACTTTGTAGGTGAAGCTCAGAAGGGTGATCGGTCTGTAGTTCTCAAGCTGCTCCCTCCCCCCCTTTTTGTGTAGCAGGATGGTAACAGCGTCCTTCGTACTCGTCGGCAGCGTCGTCGTAGCTGCGAAATTGTCGACCAACTTCATGAAATGTTTGCCCAGGATATCCCAGTGGAACTCGAACAGCTCCTTCGGCAACCCATCCTTCACAGGAGCCTTATCCTTCGCCATCGAACGGAAAGCAGCTTTCACTTCTTCCTCCGACCGGGCCGCACACACCGCTTCCGCCGACTTCTGCGACAGAGACCTCCCGGGAGCAGGAGACCAAGCAGACACGGCCTGCTGTCTGTCGCTTCCGAACAGCTCCTTATAATACTGTGACGCTGCCGTCAGGATAGCTTCATTGTCATTCACCAGCTTCCCGCCTGCGTTTAACTCCGTAATCTGCGTCTGCCCCTTTCTGGCTTTGATCTTTGCCGACAGGTGCAGGGAGGCCACTTCACCCATGACTTCTTCCTTCAACCCAGCCATTACATGTAGCCGCTCCTGCCGAACCAGCTGGTAGCTCTTCAACTGCGCCTCTCTTTCGCCCAGCAAGGTTTTCAGCCGAGCACACCCCGGGTCACCCAGCCACGCCTGTTTTAGCTCCGCAACCGACCGCTGAAGGTGAACCATCGTAGCCCGGACCCTCTTCCGTTCCTCTAAGCTCGTAGAGCAGTATTGAGGCGGGAGATTAGAAGCTCAAAACCGTCCCCACACAAGTCCGCTTGCCGCTCCACGACTTCAATCACCTTTCTGACCCCCGGTCTGTCCAACATGTATGCAGGAAGCCTCCAAAGCCCCGGGCCCAACTGCACCCGCGTGTTCAACCTGAAAGCCGCCTTCACTGCAAAGCTGTGGTCAGAGATGGGGTCAGCCGGCATAATGTGTGAGACGAACTCAACATGCGCCAGCAAAGATTGCGAGATAAGTGATCTGTCTATACGCGAACTGGACTGGTTGGCGCAGGAGTAGAAAGTGAATTCCCGCCTGTATGGATGTAGAACTCTAAAAGCATCCGAGAGGTGAAAGGCGCCACAACGATGGTACAGCTCCTCATTCTCTTTCGTGGACCCCTTCCGTGATGTCCTATCTAACAGCGGGTCTTCTACAAGATTGAAGTCCCCCATAATGAGCAGATGAGAACCCGGCGACACCGTGTCAACCACCGGACCCAGCACTCTGCGGATGAACGCCTTACGTTCAGCAACATCAGCCGGGAAATAAACCGCGACCAAGGTGATGTGAAAAGTGTCAAGTCGAACTTCAGCTGCTACCAGCCGACCAGATGGGTGGATGAGGGTGTTATGCAGTGACAGTCCGTGCCTCCGACAGATTAAAGCAACCCCGCCGGCTTTAGCGGTAGGAGAGGCTACCAGGATCTGCGGCTGCCTAAGCGAGTTCCAGTAAGGGTGATCATCAGTGAGCCTAGAGTCCGACAATTCGACGATATCTACTGCCTGCTTCAACCGGTTCTTTGTACGCTGTTGCTTGTTACCATCCCCCAGGCCGTTGACATTCAGGCCTGCAAATGACAGTAAGCTCTTTGTACTCATTTAACCACTGCTTGAAGGCCCCCTTGCATCCACAGGCCGGTGATACAGGATACTACTACACAAGAACAAGCAACAGCGACAACCACACAGCTCCTCTTCAGGTGAGTGGACCCTGATCTCAGATTCCATAATCTTTGCGGATGACGTGCAGGCTCAGCTTCTCCAGCGAAGCACGCGTGGCCACCCCCAGCTTTTCCAGACCCAACAGGGGACTTGCCGATGCAACATGGTCCGCAGTAGCCATGAAGGTCTTGCCATGAGCTTTCCCGCAGCTTTCCTGGGTGCACAGCCACTCCTCCCGGTTGCTTCCAGTGGAGATGAGAACAAAAGCCGCATCCAGCAGAAGCGGGGTAACAAGCGGAGAAGCGCAGAGAGAAGCAGCTGCGAGGGACAGACGCGACGTTAGCGACCGACGACGGTGAGTACAATAAACGACTGCAAATCCAGAAAGCACAGTTACCGTTAATCCTATGCACCCGACCCACTGTCAAACTCCACTTCCCTATGTTATTCTGACGTTCCGTGACAAACGCATTATGAAACTTGTCATAACGGTGCCCACCACAGAGCGAGCAGGATAGCAGGGGGAAGTGGGCCAGCAGAGTCGTGCCACCCAGCAGCTGATGACGATATTCGTGACGCCAGTGGTGCTTGTCGCCAGCGTGCGGAACAACCAGCCCCTTGATCTTGTCCGTGTCAGCGCCGGTCACCGGATGAAGGACGCGGTGAAAGCAGTGACCACCGCTGAAGGTCGACTGCTTCCGGATCTTGAGCGGATGCTTCACCATCACCTCCAAAACCAGCTCCGGGGGAATGTCAGCGGGGACACCTTTGAAATACACCTCCAGCATCTGCGGATTTGTCGCCTTCATACGCAGGTAAGCTGGATCCTCCTGGTGCAGCCAGAAACAATGAATCGTAATTCCGTTGGGACGCTTATGATCCACCGATATCTGCTTAATGTTCACAGCGTCGGACTCTCGCAGGAATGACACTTGGAGACGACTATAGCGGGTCTTGGCAACAAACGCGGGAAGCAGCTCCTGAAACTTCACCGTGGCCAAGACGTCATCAGAGAGCAGGTTTGCCCAAACACGCTTCATAAGCGTCCGCACAGTTAGAATAACAGAAGCGACTTCATGCGACGGGATCACTAGAAAAAGCAGAATCACCGTCGAACGCAGGTGAGGGGAGATTCCTTTGCTCGCATCAATCTCCAGCTCCTCATCAGAGTCATCTTCGATAAATGAGTCATCAGCAGCCACCGTGGCCAACGCTTTCAGCTTCTCCTCGACAGAAAGGCCTGAGCTCCCAGCGGTAACTTCCGCTTCGGTCGGTAGATTAATGTCCACATCTGACCGCTTGCTTGGCGTTGACTTGCTCGCAGGATCAGAACCACCAGCAGGGTTGACCAAGGCAGCATCAGCCACTGCCTTACGGGAGTTCTTAGGAGGCATCGTGCAATGATGACAAGAAGCCGGCCGAAACTTTGACAGACGGAGTTGTTGAGAACAATGAGCCGGTAGTCTGAGCACATCACTGTTAAATAGTAATCTTGCCAAAGCCTTAGCCCAGTGCTCCTGACTTAGGTGTTGCTGGGCCGCTGTGGTAACTTTAGGGTCATCTTGATATATCAATGTAGAATCTAGAGAGCCAATTAGTGATAGCTTAGCTGGTAGCCTTGTGATGACGCATACCCCTGGGAACCACGCGTTAACCTTGGGCCTTGTCTGGTTGATCAGCGTAACGCACCAGTGAGAGGAAAATAAAATGTTCGCCTGATGAACACATAACGTATATGATCCTCTTCGTCTTGCTGTAGCGATTACGTTGCTGATAGGATTAAAGCCAACTGACAAATAGGCTTCACGCAATGTGAGTTCCAGGCTGGCGTCAGGCAGCCATGGCGGCGAGATCAAGGTTTCCATCGAGGTTTCCGTGGAAGCACCAGCAAGGATGTGGGGGAGAGCAGCGCCTCACCAGCAAGGATGTGGGGGAGAGCAGCGCGCGCCACAAGAGCGCCAGCACGCAGGCCGAACACAGCACCCAGTTCCTCCACACTCACACCACCACCGCCACTGCCACCGCTGCTAATGATACCACTGTTGACTGCCCCTCCTGCGCCTGGAGGCGCTGCTGCAACCCCCATCCCCACGCCCCGCCGTGCTGCCACATTCTCTCGCACTTGCGCTCGTCGCTTCGTTCGCCTCTCAGCCTTCTCCGATTTCTTCCTGCAATGCAACCGCCAGCGCTCGACTGCAATGCAACCGCCACTGCCGCCGCTCTCAATACGCTCTACATCCGCGTCGTCACTGCTGCCGTCCGCGCCGTCACTGCTGCTGTCCGCGCCGTCACTGCTGCCGTCCGCGCCGTCACTGTTGCCGTCCGCACCTCCAGCGGCCAAACCTCCGCCTTCGCGAGCAGCCATCGGTGCGCCACTCATCGGCGCGCCACTCACCGGCGCAAGGGGATTGTCCGCGGCTGTCACAGCGCGCGCATCGCCACCCTTCCCGCCATCCCACCGCCTCTTCCTCGGTCGCTTCCCCCCATCGCCATCCCCTTCCGCTGACTGCCGCGCTCCGCCATCCGCGCTGGCTCGCTCTACGCCGCGATTCAAGCGGCGCTTGCCTTGGTGGGCGTGCGCGGTAGGATCGAACTCCGCAGGCGACAGAGGAGACGGCTCCTCCTGTTGACTCCGCATCGCACGTTAAACCAGACTCTAGCGTGCGTGCCGCTCTCTCCACTCGTCTTGAGTGCCGCGAAGGAAGACACAGGGTGTTTGTGTTCTCACTCGCGCGATGTCCGCAAACACGAGCAGTGGCGGAACAGCTATTGGTGTTCACCGCGTTAGACCATTACACGACCTGACATCATATGTTGTCAATTGTGAAATGATGATCTTCTTGACCTTCCAAGTATAACCTCCATGCATTTAGAACAGGGGTACGTGTGCATTCCAAGTTGCAACATGGGTGACCGGTACTGCAAGTGTTGTATTGTCTGTTCATCTTGCCTCTCCTCCGTCCTCATGCATTTGAACCACTGAGCAGTGCGAGCAGGCAATCAGATCATGCAATGTCAAGGTGATCATCCAGCACAAGGAGTTGATCCACCCAGCTCGCACCCACGCCAGCCTCCTCCCCAAACCCATGCCCCCCTTCTCCCGCGTGGCCTGGTCGCCTAGCATACTCCTCCCGCACTATCTGCACCGCCTGGGCCATGAGGTGAGCTGGCAGCCTGTTTGCATTGGGGTTGCCTCCCGCTGCTTCCACCTCTGCTGGTTCTATCCCCTGCTGCGCCAGCCACCGAACTGCGCCCCACTGCTGCTGGCTCGCTGCATTGTGCAAAGGGGTCCCTGGGGGAGGGCGGTTGGATTACATAGGGAAAGGACTGGCTCTCCGAAAGCAGATGCAGAAATAGACACGTTCACGCAGCAGGGTAGAGAGGGTAAAGCCAAAGGCAAGAGAGCAAGGAAAGGAAGCTGCGTGAAGTATGAGAGAACAAAGCACTTTCAACAGTCTAGTGCAAGATCAGTCACAGCCGCCAGGCACTCACAGCCACCAGCCGTGCGAGCGCGGATGTCAGCACCACAGCCATCCGCGCGGATGTGCGCGGATGTCACAGCCAGCAGGCACATGCAATCCACGTGGCCGCCATACGCCGCCAGGTGCAGTGGCGTGGTGGCGTTGCGTGTGCTGCACACTCCTGCTGGCATGCCCATGCGCAACAGCGCCTGCGGCTGTGGATGGTGAGGAGCGGCAGGTAGGGACAGGAAAGGGCACCGGTGTGAGCGTGGATCAAGCCTTTGCTGGGGAGTGCACACGGGGGCAGGCTGGTGGAGAAGCGTAGTAAGGGGTCCCTGGGTGTGGGAGCTGGTGGCAGGTTGTGCTGCACGGGTGCCAATGAAGCGATGCATGCATGTGATGTGAGATGGGACTGACCACGGGGGAGTCACCATTGCGGGCAGCCACGTGCATGGCTGTCCACCCCCTCTCATCCACCACTCCACTCAATTCTCCTACTGACTCCACCCCGCATGCCCGCACCACACGCCACAGGGCCTGCGCCTCCTCCTCCCCACTGCCCTCCCCACTGCCGTCCCCACTGCCCTCCGCACTGCCCTCGGCACTACCGTCCCCACTGCCATTCCCCCCAGCTCGCCCGGCCAGGTACGCCTTAACGTGAGAGTACAGCTCCCTCGCGTTGACTGTGGGAGTGGGAGACGCAGCGGTGGGTGCAGGCAGGGCGGCAGGGGCAGCGGCAGGGGCAGCGGCAGGGGCGAGAGAGGGGAAGGCGGAGGTGGTAGAGGTGGGAGGTGGGGTGTGGGAGGCGGTGGAGGAGATGAGTACAAGGGAGAGCGGGTGGCAGAAGCGGTGGGTGGGCGCTGCACTCTGTGCCATGGGCACTGCAGAGGAGGAGAACGATGGGGAGCACGGCTGTGACCCTGAGGCCGACAACGCCATTGGTTGTTGTTGTAAGCCTGCTGCTGTCACTGCCTGTGGTTGCGAGCCTGAGGGTGACACGAGGGGGAGCGCTGATGATTGGGACTGTGACTGTGAGAGTGATCGTGGCAGGGGAGGTGGAGGTGGAGGTCGGTGAGACAGTGGGTGGTTGAGCAGCAGGAAGAACCGCCGCGCCCTGAGATTGTGCAGCTGTGCGCAGCAACGAGGACGGGGATGGACGGCACGGGCACGAGGGGGAGGGGAAGCACCATGGGCAGGCAGGTGACTTAAGGAGGCGAGCGAATGGGAATGGTGAAGAGGCAAGGGAACGTACGCATGCAGCAGCATGAGCAGGCGGCAGAGTGGAGCAAGGGGCAAGCGGGGCACGGGATGCTATAGACAAGGTACCCGTGTCGTGCGCGCTCACCTGCTCCACGTCCTCCTAGCTGTGCTGCCGTGCCAGCATGCCCCCTTGCGACCGCTGCCTCTATGGGAAAGGCAGAATGGGGATGAGGAGGGCGAGGATAGGGGTGGAGGGATGGTTCAGGAGTCAGGCATGCCACAGTAAGGTGGGTGGTGCATGGGAGTGAAGAGGCCACAGGTGAGCAAGGACCGTGTGAGGGAGGTAGGGGGTCAGATTAGAGCGAGTCACATAGTGGCGTGCGGCAGAAGGAGAGATGTTTCGAGTGATGTTTGCGGGCGTGCGAGATGAGTGAAAAGGCGAGCGCGGTGCTGAGCTGTGCTGGGCGGCGCACCTTGGCAGTGCGGTCGACCTGTGAGGACGCCACCTCCAGCTGCGTAAGGAAAGGCGCGCGCAGGCCCGCGGGCAGCAGCGGGGAGAGAGCAGCGGGCGTGGTGGCGGTGGCGGGGACGTGCGAGCTGCCCTGCGGGCCGCAGAAGCCCCTCCACGGGGTCGCTGCTGCCCGCCGCCTGCTGCTGCTGCTGTGCTCCATCAGAAAGAACGTGTCTGCCAGGGGGTGAGCGAGGGAGGCGAGGACGGGCGCGACGGAGAGGAGGGGGGAAGAGGGAGATCGAGCGGAGGCGGAAAAGGCGTGGGGGGATGAGGGAAGAGACAATGGTGCGGTGCTGAGTGCTGACATGGGCTGGAGGCGAGAGACACGGAGAGGGCGATGGGGAGATGGCAAGCAGCGCGTGGCTGCGTCAACTAGGGCTACCCAAGCACACACAGCCCTACTCTTCCATCTCCAAAATTGCGTGGTCCCCAATCTGTCCCGAAACCATTCTGTACCAGAACAGACACAAATCCGTTCTGAAACTATCTTGGAAGACACTTTCGGGACATTTTCGTCTTCAGGCGGTTTTGCGCTACATTTCAAGATGTCCCAAAAGTGACTTGTGCCGTAATCTGCCCATGCCTGGGGAGGTTTGAACTGCAACCCGATCAGGAGACGCAGGTTCGATGCCCGTCGATGTCAGTTCCATTGCGTTGGGTGTAGATTTTGTTTATGATTTTCGTTCGTGTTGTACGCTTCTGGAATATTTTCATTACGAAATATAAGTACACCACAATGTTGGTGGTAATCATAATCCCACAATGTTACCAGTAGTTGTTTGTTACAAAAACTGGCACTCAAAACAAGTACAAGAAAATAAACTATTGCTTCTGTGCTAAGCGATAGGAAGACCTCATTGGTAATCGAACTCTAGGCAACATCAGAAGTACAAGACCACTGCGCTATGAGCTAACGTAAATGATTATCTTCAATTTAACTTTTAATTTAAACAGATCAGCTCAATCTACTAAGGACGCGGCACCTCAAGCAATTTTGCACGATCGATCGCAGGATCGCTGATTCAACCGTACTGAAATCCTGCTGAAAGTCTTTAAGGCTTTTGAAACCATTTAAAACTCCTAAATCATTCCATCCTGCGCAGGATCGATCGCAGGATCGATGCTGGAGGTGCCGCGTCCTAAACCAAAATTTCGCGCTGTGAAGAAATGAGGAATGAATGAACTAACAAGCAGGTGGGTACAAGTAGGAAAACCTAGAAGT